TTCTCGCAGCCAGGCCAGCACGGCACCAGCGCGGCACCGGCTACGACGCAGGTGTTGCCGCGCCCGCAACGGCAGTGTGGCCGTTCCACGGCCATGCATCAGGAGCGAAAGAAGGACGTACACGTACATGAATCCACGCTGGTTTCGAGAGGATGCATTGCGCGAATGTTCGCATTGTGCGGCCGGTCTCGCGGGTCGAGGGGCCATGCTCATGTACATAGCTGGGCGAGTACGTCCTGTGTGGGCTCCCTAATGCAAGCGGGCCACGGTTCCACAGGCGGGGAGCTACAGTCGGGGCGCTGAAGAAGGAACCCTTTTCGTTGGGGAGGGGCTCCGTGTTCCTCAAGTGTTTCACAGCTTGCCAAAGGTTTTTCTTATGTTTTCGACGGGAAATCGAAGTATAACCCATGGAAAAAAGGGGCCTCGTTCCTTATTTAGGGTTCCTTAGGTCAACGCCCTGACTGTAGCCGGAGCGCGTCGGGAGGTGACCACATGCGCGCCGCAGCGCTTGCCCTCTGGCTTCGGCCGAGGGTCGGTGGCCGCGCCCAGCTTGAATCAGGAGGGGAAAAAACACACAGACACAATTAATCGTCGATTCCCCAGAAAATATGGGAAAATATGGGAAGTGGGGGGGGAGGCAAAAACCCAGAAAATATTAGAAAATATTGGGGATATTTTCATTTGTGTGTATTTATTTGTGTGTCCCAATTCCCCGTCATTGAAGGCCGTGGCACTGGTGCGCGAGCCTTGGTCAGCCACCGTCGCCCAACCATTCACTCGGCAGGGTGCTGCTCGTGAACGCTCGCTGAGTCCGGAGCACTCTTCGTGGCCGCCCCCGTGCGCCGGTGGAGGCTTTTCCTCGACCCTGCGGAGGAGTCCCCGCTCAGTACAGTCGGGGCGCTGAGGAAGGAACCCTTTTCGTTGGGGAGGGGCTCGGCGTTCCTTGATTGTTTTGCACTTCGCCTTGGGTTTTCCTTGGGTTCTGGGGGGGGGGTCCCCCCCGAAATCTGCCCCCACGGACGGAACGCCAGTGGAAGCGGGCCGACATTCGGCACGACTCCTGCAGACGCGTTTCCGGGCGGCTCTGGCGGCCCCAGACGGACCAGGAGTCGCCGACTGCTCGGTCCAGACCGTCTGAGACGGCCTCTTGACTGCCCAAGAAGCCCCGAAGACTTCCTAAGAAGCCTCCAAGAGGGCTTCGAGAGGCAAAATGGCTGGGTTTCCTGAGAATTGTCGATGTCTTTCGTGTCCCCACCTTTTCGGTTTTCCGTCGCCCCAGGGGCCCCAGGGATCGCCCCAGGACGGCCGCAGAGGCCCCCGAAAGGGCGCCCAGACGGCCCAGGAGGCCCCCAATGAGGAGGAGGCGGAGGAGGAGGAGGAGGAGGAGGAGGAAGAGGAGGAGGGGAGGAGGACGAGGAGGAGGAGAGGAGGAGGAGGAGGAGGAGGAGGAGGAGGAGGAGGAGGAGGAGGAAAGGAGGAGGAGGACAGTGGAGGCCCATGCCAAGAAGCACCCCCGCTCGCCTCCAGGGGGTGCTCTGGGCTTCGAGGGGGTTTTCGAGGGCGTCGCTTCTGGAGAGCGCGGCGCCCCCACGCCCAAAAATCCGTGGACGTCCTGGAGGAGGAGGAGGAGGAGGAGGAGGAGGAGGAGGAGGAGGAGTCAGGAGGGGGGCTCTCCTGGAAGGTGTTTCGCGTGGTCGGGGCTTGGGCGCCGCGTAATGGGGGGGTCATAATCGGGGTTGGACAGAACCCCCAACAGTGACACGTCGATTAGCGAATTGTCCGTTTTCGGTTCTCGAGAGGGCGCCGTGGCCGTCATTTTCCAGGCTTGCGCCCGCCAGGTTTGGGCCTCAGGTCGTTTTCACTAAACCACGTTTTACTGAAGGGAGGTCTGTCCATCCCCGATGGAAGGTGTTTCGCGTGGTCGGGGCTTCGGCGCCGCGTAATGGGGGGGTCATAAATGGGGGGGTCATAAACGGGGGGGTGTCGCGGGTGGTCCGAAAAGGTACCCAAACAGTACCTAAACGAGCCCCCTGGAGCTCCGGAGGGGCCCGAAAGGGGCACGAAAGGGGACCTTTTTTGACCCCCCCATTTGTGACCCCCCCCCTGAAGCCACGCCCAAGGGGCCCCAGCTGTGCTGCCCGAGAGGCGTCCAGGCCGATCCCACGAGGGCCCCCGGAGCGCCCCGCGAAGGGGGCCCAGAGGCGGAGCGCGCCCCGACACGTCGAGCGCTCTCCGCCCGCAGAGGCCCCCGGGAGGCCCCCAGGAAGGCCCCCAGGCAGGCTCGAGAGGCCCCCAAGACGCCCACGAGGGCCCCAGGATGGCCGGAGGCGCCGCGAGAAAGCGCCACGGCGTCAAGCGGACAGCACGGGAGCCAACAGGATGCGCTCGCACGCCGTTTCGGCCGGTGGCGGGGCCCAAGCTGCGAGCTGCCCGGTCATCCTCGTCGCCTGCCTCCATGCTCGAGGTCTGCGTCGCCGCCCCTGCTGCCAGCCTCCTCATT